TAACGTGAAATTCTGCCTATGACCATGCTCGCAAGTTTTTCAGTAGCAAATTTGGAATGACTGTGCATAGCGAGTCGTGATGCCTCCTTAAACGTATTAGCGTTAAGTCTGTCAGCTACATTCGCCATTGAAATCGAGGTATTCGAGAGGAGTGATTTTTCTTTTTCTTGTTTGGGAATCCTTTCAGATTTTTTATTAATTTGTGTCAAAGCTACCTCATCGTCTTTGTGTTCATATTGGTTGACAGAGTCAAATCCTAGAATGATATTTTGTTGGAAATCATCGATCGCCAATCTACTACTACCTTTATCCTCTTTGAAATAAAAGTCATTTGTAATGTCTAAAACGAAGAATACAGTAGTTAGAAACTTTAATGCCCTCTATAATAACAAAACCAATTTTTAAAACACCTACCTGTACCAATGACCCTCTGGAGAGTTTTGGCACCACCGGGATGAACATCAATCCATTTTCGAATGTCGAACACCAACCCCTCCGCAACAACAAGAGAAGCACCACCCGCGACTCTTTTGTTAATGTCCTACATGAAAATGATTTTTCTGTTAATCATGTGACCATTTGAAACGGAAAACGCGCCGCTGATCAACTTACATCCCAACCAAGGATCAAAAGTTTTTCAAACACGGCATCATGAATATAAGAGCGTATGCATTGATTCGAGTTTCCGGCCTCGCTTGAGGGTCGAATGAATTTGTAACCAGAAATATTGTGTCGTATCTCAGAAATTAAGAATATTATCAAGATAAACCCTATTTGGAGTCAAACATTATATTGTAGCGGATAATATTGAAAACTTCACATCAGAAGAGTCAATATTTACCTAACCATCCCAAATAAATACGTCGCCATGTATAATTTGGATCCTCACCGAATAACTCGATTCCCAGGTAGATATTATAGCTGTTTGAATTGCATTTATATCATAACGTTAACATATTTCTTAAAAATTCTCAAGGGAATTTTATTTCTTACCCGGAAACACTCATCAGGGCAAACCCAAAAAGGAGGTGAATTTTCTTGATAAAACTACATAAACCACGATTCACGGATTCTACCGAGGCTAAGCACCACGTGGTCAATAGTCCCAAACCGAGTTGAACAAAAACCAAGGAGTATATCACTATTCCGTATCTGTTTAATAATGTGCAATCGGTTATTGCGAATTCGAGGATTCTAGTGTTTTGTTTAGTTACTCACGTGTGATGTGGTGTTGGATTAGTCGGGTCGGCTACGGACATGCCAACTGCGCCAAAAACAAAAACTGAAACGCCACCTATCATTTGAAGATTCTTGTGTTGACTTTTGTATTCATAACTGTGCTTCATGTATCGAACGATGTAGATCGATGCTGTGATATTTAAAGTAAAAGAGTTAATGTCAAGAATATCTGAACCAATGTCTTTTGTTTGAATACAAACCTGGGAAGATAACACTGAGTCACCGATATAAAAACGATTACGTGAGTGATAAAAGATAAACACAGGCAATTATTATCAATGATACTTCTTGGCTTACCTCCAGATCACGACCATGGCAATTCCGTGCACCAACAATGATTGCCTGTACTTATTTACGGTCACCTGAGAAAAACCTGTCGCAAAGAAGTTTACATTTCTTCTATTCCAGTTACTGATGTGAGGCGACAAAACGTTTGTCCCAGGTTTCCAAGCACAAATTACTGACGTGAATTCGAATTCATAATGTTAAGAAGTCATTGATTTTTATAAAAATACTGCAGATTGAATATAATTACATATTTTCATCGTGTCCGTAATAGGCTGCTTGTTCGGTGCGTTTAATGGATACGAGAACTCAACTTGCGAAACTCCATTAACAATCGTTGACGATAAAACAGTAACGATCTGCGCATCATCTTTTACCGGTATTTGATTTCCAACAGACCTATAATTCGCCACCTCAATGGTTGGATCAGTAGTCCGAGCAATTATAAAATCAGCTCCCACCATCCCACCGCCATTACTGAATCCGATTCCAAACCATGCCTGGGAAGCTTGAATGGTGAGTTTAAATGTGATTGTTGGCATGGTGAGCTTCCACTGAATATTGTACATTCCATCAGAACAAGGAAACACATTATATCTTGAGTAACCGTCTCCATCGACGGTCAAATTGTCTAACGCAGCACGTGGTTGAACGATCCATGGATTTTGAGGGACAAAGAATGGTGTGTTAGCGGGCGTATTCCTGATTATTATGTCTCGCCAGGAAGTGCGATTTATCTCGAGAATTTCGGAATCATTGAATCCGGCATCCGAGTTCTGATAGTAAAATCTGTCTGAATTACGAATTCGTGACCACTATATACAAACAAACATTGAAGGAGTGTTAGGTTCAAAATTAAGTATTGTGGGAGTGCAATTGTAAGAAATCTCACTTGGCTTATCATGCTCTTAAGAAACAAGGGACCGAAGCTCGATTCGATCACGTGATCTTCGGCAAGACCTCCCACGAAAGCTTCCAATTGATTGACATTTGCGTAAGTCGACATCAAGCGCATTTGGACATCGGTATTATTGGTAATATCCGACCAGTCATTTGCTTTGAGGAATCCGTAATTTTGTCTGACTTGGTTGTACGATGGTAGACCTTGATCTCTGCCACGAAAATGATCGATACTATGAAGATATTTATGTGCATTAGGGAATGGGTTTTCTTACAAAAATTGCGATAAATCCGAAAATGTAATTTACCTCGCAATATCGTGTACACTCGAGGGATCGGGGCGATGAGCTCTCATGAAGTCGGCATAAAATATATCAAGTTCCTCTTGCCTTGAAAACATTAACATTAAAATTCAAATTACCACAGAGCGTTTTATACTGTATGTATTGTAATTTTACCTTTGAAGCGACAAACTTGCGGCGATTCTTGGGACGCCGTACATTTCCAGCGTCCCAGTGACAAGAACATCATAAAGGTGTAGCTGTAAACCACTTCCACCGAACTCATCAATTATTGTGTAATAATCACTTTGTGAAATAAAACGCAGATTAAAGAAAATCTTTGGAGACGTGATGCAAATCAAAAAACATTTATATAATAGTCGACGTGAAGTACCTGACTTCAGAATGTCCGTATCTTTGTATTATTGGGTTTAATGGTATGTTAATGTGTCACAAAAAAGAATAAAACGCAATTGTCGAGATGAGTTAATATTAAATGTTACCGAAAGGTGGCGGAAGAGAAGAATGTGTCAATGCCAGGCGTTAAATTTGGATCGTAACTGTTATTATAGGTATCCAATGGTCTACCCAATATTGTTGGTACTTTACAAGGGTTAAATTGATGTGACATAAACAAACCAGCTTTATAGAAGAACGATGAAATTTTCGAGAATTCGCTTACAATACTCCAAAAATACGACCTTCTGCAATAGCGCGATAACCCACTTCCGGGATTCCTGGAAATATTGGTCATCATCCCATGCACTCCCGTACCAACTCCTCAAATCCCGACAACGACGATTGTGTTCTCTCATAAAAATCACCTGATAGAAGTTTGTGAATGCATTTACCCCACGCAATGGTTGATAGCCGACAATATATTCTCCATTTGAATCTATTTCAATCGGAAGCATACTATATATCACCCCCAAATTCCACTAAAATGAACGAAATAATAAATTTTTTATATTTACCCAATGGAAGATATCCAAACTTGGCATCAGCAAGATCCCCAGCATAACTTGACGAATAATTCATCAACATCATACACCTATCACTGGGATCTCGGAGTACGGAATTTAATCTTTGTTCGCTGAACCCATAAATCGCCGACGCATCGAGGAAAGACGTGACTTCATTGAGTGTTTTCGATTCTGACGTGTTGTTGCTGTACCATGTTCGATTCATTGGTAAGTAAGACTAAATTAAGATACAAAGTAGTCGAATAGGCAGGATGATTAAATCAAGTTGGAGAATATTGCAAGGTAAAGATGATAAATTTAGATATACAATATGTAATGGAAATTACCTTATTTACGACAGTAATGGATTCTGTACCGTAAGAGAGGTAAGTGGAGTCGTCGCTTGGAATCATAATAGCATAACGGTATAGATCCAATGATTCTCGAGGAGAAGAAATGTCGAACGCTAGCCAGTCTCCGAAGAACGTGTTCTATATTGTAAGAAATTTGGGTTCTTTAACTCATGTGAACTTGTTAGAACACGTAATAATAAATTAGTCTACCATGTGAGAAACATTTCTGGATGACTTCAAATTCTCACGAAAATTAATCTCCAATCGATCGATGGATTTCATTTGGATTCCATCTACCCGATCACTTATACATCTTACTAGTGGTAAAGTTTCATTGGACGGCGGCGGGCACTTTATGGATGTGGTATTGGCATAGTTTCCGGGACACGGAAGCATATCTGGGATCATTTAAAATAAGCATAATCGTAAATTTACAAATTAGTCCTTTCACCCTCGATAAAAGTTTATACTTTCAATAATAAGAATCATTCAGCAAGTTATATACTATAAATACTAACGTTGATCTGAGTCAAAGAAGTTTGTCGTATTAGCGGGTGTAATACGTAATAGGGGTTGATTAATTGAGCCGGCATTCGGATTCACGAGATTGTTGTTGGTACCCTGTGAAGAGGAAGTTATTAATCTTTATCTGATAGCCTTTGACAAGGTAACAAAAAAAATGTATCTAAAAGAAAAAAATAACTACATCAAGTGACCGATACTTTGATTGCGCGTAGCATTCCCAAATAAGGGAAGAAAAGTAAAGAAGCAAATGAGTTAACAGCAAATTCATTTGACCCCGGTTTATAGGTATCATATGTAGAGAAATTTATTCCAGCAAAAAAAGAGATTTTGGCAGGCTTATTAAAACATAGGAAGTTAGGTGAATGAGAGCAATTTAGTAGCCCAAGAAATAAAGAATGAAAGAGAGATCAATATTTAATTATTATAAATTAAAAGATGTTAAAAACTCTAGTGCACATTTTATAATATATATTGAAATTCGATTGAATTCAAAACAGCGAGCTATTGATGACTTTGTTTTGTACAGGAGTAACTCGATGATTTAATCAAATGTGCATGTAGTATTTGTATTATTGTTAGATTGAGTTAGGACACTTGAACAAGAACCAACCATTTTTCTGGCGAAATGAATTTATTACGCGAATGCAGGCCTCAATTTCCAATTATTGTGTATGCACTATATCGCGTGTGCATTAAATTTTCCGAACAAACAAAGTTAAATTAAGGTAGATTTCTAGTGTAGCCCCAATTCTTGGTAAATTTCGAACATTCTATAATAAAAAGTCTGCAGTGTGAGAGACCTCGCTCGAAGTCGGATTGGTGACAATTTTTATCACATGACAAATACGCAATCATAACAATCTGAATTTTTGTCATTTTTGTCATTATTCACAAGTATCATTGAGAAATAATGCAGTCATTTAAAAGACAGGAGTTTAGGGGATATTTACAAGCCAAACACTCGAGCATGTCAATAAGAATGCTGAATAAGATTTTTCACCAATTATAGGACCCAAAATTCCTAGCGCCCCCGAAAATAATTACCCAATTATGAGCCAGGAAAGCAGGGGTAATTATTTTAGGAATTTTTTTCAACTCGGAAATTGTTTTCCAAGAATTTCCATGTCTAAAGTAGGGATCGAAATCAATTATTCTGCACATTGGTATTGGTACGAGATGTAAAATACATTAACACGAAAAAAAAGCATTCTTGAAATATTTTTGGATTTACTAAATATACACTTATAAAATACAAGAAGTAAATAAACAGAGATTCTTTTCCTGTTTAAATTAAATGGGAATGTTCCTATATAAGGGAAACAAGAAGTGTATTGTCACTTGAGTAAGGTGTAGCTTATACAGTATTAGTATTACGTTGTTGTTCGTAAATTTTCATATAAAAAGTATATTAACATAATAACGGTTCAATATTTTTATAGGTCGAAAAAATATTTATACACATGCAAGAGTAAGTTAATATTATTTGATGATTTATTTGAAATATTAATAATATTTTATGCTCTGTTATTCAATAGAACTGGGTATTTCTTTAGTGAAAGTAGCTCATCGACCATCTTTTTGAAGTACCATCGTTATATTTTAATCGTGACGTTCATTAAATTTAATCCATCTTACTTTTATTTATTATTAGTAAGATGTCGAATATGAATGTGTTTTTTTAAACTAATGCACCTAGAGCACGGTTGGTAAAAAATGCAATATTAATAATCAAATCTCTATTTGCTATTTATTCATTGTTGATAATTTGTCAAATATAAATAAGTCCGCTTTGCATATTTGAGCAAGATAATGTCAACGATAAAGTATCGAGGAGCACAAGA